TGCAATTTCTTGTCTTGGTCTTCTGATCTCAAGAGCCACGGGTGTGTGGGTCATCAGTATCTCTGGTTACTTCAGACTAAGGACTAACCCTTATTTCATTTTCAGGATGACAACAGACAAACTGGAGAGACAGCAGAAAAGTGCAACTCAGTGCCTGTGGAAAAGCGTTTAGGATGCCCATGCATCCATAGATAGCACAAAAGTAGGACGTTAGCAATTGTATGACAGACATCTCCTCCCCACCGCTTATATGTACACGTGCAGCCTGAGTTCAGATACTGTCTCTTAAATTGTACTTGGAAATGCCCAGGAATGAGTAGGATGTTTAGCTCCTGCTTCCTATCAGTTCATTTCTCACCCAGCAAATTACTGTGGATGAAAAAACAAAACGCCTGTTGTGCAGAACTCCCCTCGACTTCAGCTGAAGACCTATGTGCATGTGTGCCGAACAGCTTGAGGAAAATGCTCTCCAAGGTTTTGTGCTGTGAGTGGTAGATTCACCATCTCGACTGGCCTCTGCATTTTGATGATTCTGTTACAGGAAGGTTTTTCTCCTGGCAGGCTTTGAATACACATAAAGCACAGTTTCAGTCTCAAGCTCCTGCATCAGCCCAGAAGTAAATTGGGAGAGGTAGGTGACCAAGCATGTCTGTATATTCAGAAGAAAAGTCTTGTTTAGAAGCTCTCACAAAAAAGTGAAAGGAAATAAAATATTAATAGGCTTCTGTAATTTCTGAGCAGATTGCATGATGAATTTCAGTAGCTAAGAGTAAAAATTACCTTTCTCTCCCAAGAACTTCTACTTAGATATGGTAATGACATTATTGATAAGCTAGTTGTGCCATTACTGAATGCCACCCTGTGTGTATCTCCTTGGGTGGGAAGTAGTATATCTCACATTTCTACTTTTTCTTCAGATACTTCTCTTTGCAGAAAATCATCTTACTAATCTATCTGCTTGTTAGCTTTTGCTCTCCTTTTGCTAAACTGAAGAAGGAAAAATGCATGCTCCTGTGGCAAAGAACAAACAGAGAAAAAAAATAAAAAAATCAAAGGAGATGAATGAGGTTCCACCACAGCAAGAAATTGAAGAAAAGGTTAGAGATGCCAATAATGGGCATGGTGTGTAGCCTGAAGTAACCTTGTAAACTTCAGGGAACCAGACGAGATAATCCAACTTGCCCTCTCTGTCTCTGCTGTCTTCCAGTTACCGTCTACCATCAGGCTACACAGAAAATTTCTACTGATGGTGACAGAACTTCTAGCCAGATCTCAAAGAAAGGGGTACAACCAAGTGATTCCAAGATGTAATCCCTTAGAGTGATTTATTCCTTAAGCACGTCATCTTCTTGGATCACGGTCTGGACCTTAGGCTTGTGCTTATTTTACACTTTAAAATTATCCTCAGTTTGGTTTGGCTTGTTGTCCTGACATAGAAGCCTAAATCTTAGTGAGTTTGACATGCTGTAGGTTAGGACAAGTAGCTTAGAAACCACTTAAATAAGATTTGGAGGAGGACTTATTTTTCATGACTGTAAATTAGAAAAAAATATAAAAATATGACATACTAAAACCCTAACAATGAAATTGTGTTGCATAACTAAGTTTCCTTCTCAGATAATTTCTACAACACCATAAACATATGTCATCGTTAATAGCCACTTATAATAGAAACATCAAGAATTATTTAGTTATAGTGCAATTTCAGTTCTCTTAAATACTTATTCATTTCACGGTTTACTTGGTTAAAATAGGATCTTTTATTATGCTCCGTGTTTGATTTTTTTATTTGGTCTCTAAAGCAGTTGTTTGAATGGCGGTGGGAGTAGTATCTGTCTTTGATACTGTCTGTATGTTCTTTCACCTACTAAACAGGCAAGGAATTAGTTTAACATCCAGCTTAATGTAGCTGGTTAAACAAAACTGGCACCTTGATCTTTATACCTGCATTTCTGTGCCTGTTGTTAAAACAGACTTATAAACCAGATATATCGTCCTAAGTGAATTTTATTCCAGAGCTTTGCGCTCTATTCCGTAAGTTTATTTAAATAGAGTTTGAAAAATTCATCTTAAAGTATATGCAAATTCTTCTAAACTGGGCCCTTTATATACATGCATTCCCTTTTATGTGAACAGTAGTTTGTTAATGGTTCAATAATTAAGAGTTTACATTTTAAAGACTTCAGGTTTTAATTGGTTGAATATTAATCACAGATCACTTTTAGTTCTGTGATATGCAAATTATTGATGCCTCAGCTGCATTTGTTTTCAGGTATCAGTCTATTCACATAATGCAAAATAACATTCTGCAATCATTTCAATTAGATGCAGTCAGCCTTTGGAGCAAGCTGTTTATTTCATTTCTGTAAATGAAGAAAGCAGTTGCTGTTTTCCATTCCCTGATGTTTACTGCCCAGAACTGGCACTCACAACTGGTACGGGTGCAAGACATAAGCAGTTTTCTAACCGAATTATGTTAGCATTCACGGTAAAGGACAAGCAGTTGAACTCCCCCTGCAAGATTTCATTTGGTTAACTGACTCTTCCGCCTCGGAAAGAGATGTCACCTTGTTTGGGGGTATCCATCACCATTTTAAAGTATATTATGAAAGGTAAATAGGAGTTCTTAACTGCAGAATCTGTTTTGCACAAGTGCGTAACGTGAGGGGATTTTTTTTATCCGACTGCAGCTGTTACCTAAGCAGAGGAGGAATTTCACCTAACCGCAAAGAATGAGCTACACAAATAGCCGCGTTGTCTTAAGAACGGGTCGGGTATGTCTCCTCACAGCGATTTGGCTCCATAATTGCAATTCCCATTAAATGCAGCAAACGTTACCATCCTGCCCACTCAGTTTCCACCTCTACTTTTGTTTTAAGCTGGGGGGGGGGGGGAAGATCGTCAGAAAAGATGGGGGGGGGGGAAGAGCCCTTCCTTTTCTTCCCCTCTCTGCCCCCGCGCCGCTTCTCCCAGCCGCGGTGCTGAGCGGCGCGCACCCAGGCGCTGGGCGGGCGAGCGGGGGGGGGAGGGCCCCGTCCCGCCGGTGCCCCGGGCCGCACTTGTAGCTGCTGCTCGCCGCCCATGGCAGC